CCAACAATTTATTACTGGGTAACATATGGACGCGAAGAGAAAAAACAGCCATGTACACACACAAAATTACTCATTTGGAGAATTTAGGGAGAATAGCTAACAGTCCTGCTTGTGGACTGTGGTAGGAACCCACATACTGTATATGCATGGGGGAGAACATGCAAACTACAAGCATGTTGCTGCAAGGAAACATTGCTAAATACGGAACCACCATGGGGCCCAAATTCACCAAAGCTTGTCTGGTTTGTTGCTAATGCCATGTTTTAAAAACAAGAGCAAAACTCATGCATTGACTGGTTAGGAACAGAAAAAATTAAAATAGCTCTGATGCAGTTTTGCCTATTGCACCACATCCTGCTAAATTAATTAATGCCCGCAAAAAATATCAGAAAAGATGCAAGGCACATGTTGGTTAAACTGACTTGTGTTTATATAACAAGACCTAATGGAACCAAAAGTGACTGATCATATTATTTTACATGTTTTCCATAGACTTACCTTACTTTCTTTATTACAATGTTCCAACAATTCTTTGTGAAATTAAGTAATTCAGCGACTAAAATATGAACCCATTGCTGATGTCAAATCAACAGAAGTCTATCTAAAATTATAGACACTTCCTGAATACCTTCAAAGGAAATAACCAAAAAAGGTCTTAGAAACCATCACCACAAGATAATGACCTCACACAGTAAGGGAACATAGATGACTCATTCATCTGATAAACTGTGTTGTCTATCAACCATTCTCCGTCATTTAAGATAAGAAACGGAGGTGTTTTAAAATAGGATACTGAGAAAAAACTAACTATTTCTCTTTCAGTGGATGCCAGCTGCCACCAATTCAGCATGTGAATCAGACATTGTTACCCCCCGAAATAGGTAAGACTTATAAATCTACACCTTTACTTTAATTGTTGAATATTCAGGTCTATAACCAAAGTTATTTGAGGAGTATAAAATGGTAGGAGGAAGGCAGGAAATGATGGAGCTCACATTTCTTATCACTATTAGAAAATCAGTACAAAAATATTTTGACAGTTTAAATTCATGCCTGAAAATATGCCTGAAAGTATTTATAGAAGGTTTTCTTTTTCTTCATTTGCCAGCCAAAAATTCTTCAGAGCTGTTGAAACATACATTGGGGCAATTATGCTACTGCGATAATTAATAACTCAGAACTGAAAACGTTATGTGTACAAACAAGCTAATATTTTTAAATGCTTCAAATGTAATTCTCAAACATTACAAACACATCCTCAATACATAGATCAAGGCTGCTTAGAACAGGGGAAATGATTTGATCACATTAATGTTATAACATTACAACCAAATCTAATAAACCTATAAACTAAGTAAAAACTAAAAATGAAGTAATGCAAACATACAAAGTTATAAAATCTAAGTAAGGAAAGAGCTTGCTTAAATGATCTAATACTTTACTAGAGGTGTCAAGGTGTAGTTTATTGGAGCAGTTTCATAAACTCCAATAAGGTGGTTTAGCTGCTAACTAAACCATTATGTAGGAGTGAGAAGCCTGCAAGCGGAATTTGGAGGAATATTTGAAGAGGAACTTATTTTATGTAATTTAATGTAATATGTTCGTTGTTATAAGCTGATAGTTGGATAGTCTGGTTCTGAGTCCTACCTCTACCCTGGCCCTAGGACAACGAATCCAGCAGTCATGGCCAGAGGTGTCAAGTAAAGAAGTTGTTGGGTTTTTAATCCAGAGAAATGTGAGTTTAAAAGATTAAAAGGAAAATGATCAACACAGAGACAGGATTTTGTGACGTCAGCATGTGCCGGGTGGAGAGAAGAATGCTGGCTTGGAAAGCCATCACCTTCTCCCACAGATCCCTTCATGGCAAAGCCTTTTATTAACAGTTTACAACATCAAACAGGCGGGCCTAAAACAGCAGACCCAATCATCATTGTCTGGGAGGATGCAGGTAACAAGATAGTGTGAATTGACCAACTGGCTGGATGGAAGTCA